TGTCATTAATACCTAAGAACATCCGAAAATAGATTGAACTTAATGTGCTCGTACAAAATTCACGATTTATTAAAGTATGATGTACTTCTCAAACCTTCTGAACTTAATGTGCTCGTACACAATTCACGATTTATTATGGTATGATGTACTTCTCAAACCTTCTGAACTTAATGTGCTCGTACAAAATTCACGATTTATTAAAAAATGATGTACTTCTCAAACCTTCTGAACTTAATGTGCTCGTACAAAATTCACGATTTATTAAAGTATGATGTACTTCTCAAACCTTCTGAACTTAATGTGCTCATACACAATTCACGATTTATTATGGTATGATGTACTTCTCAAACCTTCTGAACTTAATGTGCTCGTACAAAATTCACGATTTATTAAAAAATGATGTACTTCTCAAACCTTCTGAACTTAATGTGCTCGTACAAAATTCACGATTTATTAAAAAAATGATGTACTTCTCAAACCTTCTGAACTTAATGTGCTCGTACAAAATTCACGATTTATTACAGTATGATGTACTTTTCAAACCTTCTGAACTTAATGTGCTCGTACAAAATTCACGATTTATTATAGTATGATGTACTTTTCAAACCTTCTGAATTTAATGTGCTCGTACAAAATTCACGATTTATTAAAGTATATGTACTTCTCCAACCTTCTGAACTTAATGTGCTCGTACAAAATTCACGATTTATTAAAGTATGATGTACTTCTCAAACCTTCTATCTCGAACATACATGCTGAAGGTTATGAGTACATCTAATGTCTCAGGATACGCTTACATGTACCTATGGTAAAAGTCCAATCCGCCCCTGTTCGTTGTATTCGATAATGCCTTTAAAAATTTTTAACTGGAGTAACACGACGGAATTTTGCCGAATCACCTGAATAAAACCACCATTTTTTAAAGATTTGTGGTGATTAATCTTTAATCAGCGTTTATTTTTTTTTCTGTTCAATATTTTTCTAAATCGTACTAAAAAAATGAGTACTCTCTCCAGCACTGTTGTAATAAGACGGTTTTATATTTTTTGTTTTTTGTTCTGACTTTCCAAACTTTTGATTTCATATATGCATCTAATTAAGGTAATTCCAGAAGAAAGCGTTGAGCATTGAAACCAATATCATAACATAAGATCTTTAAAATGCGCCATCATCATTACTTTTAAATCATCATGTTTCCAATTCTTTTTGGATTCATATTTTCATCTTGCAATAACAGGATTAAATTAACAACTGTTGTGTTGCATATTGCATCAAAACTGTAAATATTGCTTCCTGATAAGATCCTTTAAACGTATCTTAGTCTAAACATTATGGCTTACATAATTGTCTATCTCATAATCGGGATTTGTTTGTTTCCCCAAAAGGAAATATCAATCTAAGTTTGGCATACATTGGATATATGATTTGAATCATTATATAGATACCGAAACGATCCTTAAAGATTATGATTGTTTTGTAAATGAAATACCGTGAATGATGGCTGATGTTTCTGCGAAATGTATGTAATAAGTCTGTACTATTAACGCTAACTTTTATGTTTTTATAGGAATAAAACGATTTGTAAGATCAGAGTGCACACGCTGATATGTCTGGTCTCTGTGACTGATAATAATAGAATTTTATGTTGTAAGTCTTTAAGATCGAGGTCTTCAAACAGGAATAACAGAAACTTAATATTATCAATGATCCACGAAAAGAAGGTCATTGTTTTCTGATTGACAAGCATACTAGGTCTACTTATCTTTATTATTGTCAAATAAACCCTGTCAAATGGAAATGTACACCTTATCATAATTCTATACACCTAAAAAGTAGACCTATAATTTCAATATAGTGTTCGAGGAACGGAAATACTCATAAAACTTTAATGTTGACCATAGAACCGTGAAAATGAACATGTCAGACAGACATACACACATTATATTCACTATTTACACCAAATATAGTAAAGCTATCACGAAAAGTACATTAAAAACAGTCCTAATCTCCAAAAATTAATATTCACAAATGAACTATTCAAATGAGGTCAAGGTCAGAAGAACCATGTCAGACGGACTTCTACAACTTGCAATCATTCTTTTGTTTTCTTTTCTTTTCACCGACTCGTTCTTGAAAAGAAAAGCAAAACTCTATTTCCTATAGATTTCAAAAGTAAACTTTTACTCTACTGGTGGCCATTTTGAATATACGACTCATATCGGTACCAAAATAACAACATTTGTTAAAGATCTTCACAGGAAAGCATCTATCAAGTTTGGTTTCAATTGGTTCAGCCGTTCTCAAGAAGTTTATGTAGGTTCAGCCAATCAGAAATTAGAAAAAGGCTCTGAAGGTTGGCGCCTGTTAAAACGTTTAAACCCGCTGCATTTGTTTGCACCTGTTCTAAGCCAGGAACCTGTTGTTCAGTGGTTGTCGTTTGTTGATGTTGTTCATTCGTGTTTCTCGGTTTTTTATATAGATTAAACCGTTGGTTTCCTGTTTGAATTGTTTTACACTAGTCATTTTGGGGCCCTTTATAGCTTTCTGTTCGGTGTGAGCCAAGGCTCCGTGTTGAAGGCCGTACTTTGACCTATAATTGTTTACTTTTTACACATTGTGACTTGGATGGAGAGTTGTCTCATTTGCACTTATACCACATCTTCTTATTTCTATCTACAGTAAAATACAAGATAATTATAAAATCAAATTATTATGTGACTTGAACATTCCAAATTTCAAATCAGATATGCTGGGATGAATGTAATGAAAAAATCCTCCATGACATACAGTGGATTAGGAAGAGCAGATGTCATCATATTACTAGTGAGCAAAAGCATTATTACTTAAATCAAGCTAAATGCCACTTTTTCAATCCTTTAAGTGTGATGCATACTATTGGAAAAATCTGTTCGATGTTAATTCCAACGTGACATATAGTGAAAATGTAATAAACAAATTATTGTTATCTATGAAACATGTATACAAAATTTCTGACAATGCATTACATCTTAAAGTTCACCTTTATCATGGTTACAATATTCTACAAACTTTATAGATTATTTCTGACAACTAATCAGACCACATTTCAAGTATTTTAAAGCACAAATGAACAAATACACAAATAAATGCAGCTGAAGGTGAGATTTTTTGCTCCATATTAAAGGCATCCCCTCACCTCAATGAAGAACAGCAATAAATGCTTTGTCCCTTTGCAGTGGTGGATCCAAAAATTTTCAAAAGTGGGGCCCACTGACTGCCTAAGAGGGAGCCTGCTCCAGTCATGCTTCAGTGATTCCCTATATAATCAACAAAATTTTTCCCACAAAAGGGAGGGGGGGGGGTCCCCTGAAAACCCTCTAAATCCGCCTCTGCTCTGCTTTGGTTTGTCATATGCATGTATGTTTTTTTTGTCATGAATTTAGACACTATATCGCTTTTTTCATTTTTAAATTACCCATACTATATTGATATTATTTTGATGTAAGAACATTTCTATAATATGACAAGAGAGATTTACATATATTTACAATTATTTATATTTTTTAAAATAAGGGATTGTGGCAGGATTGCCAAAAAGACAACTGCCTATCAGAGACCAAAAACTGATTATATATATAACACACATAAGAACCAACCAACAGCTCTGACTACCTTAGCTAGCTTCCTATAGTAGCAAGGACATTTTGACACTGATTTTCAAATAAATGTTCCATCTGTTATTTCCCTGTTAAAGTAAGTGGTCATCCTGTGGTAACTGTCATGTATTGTGCAGATATTTTATTGTGTCATTTACTATGACAAATGGTCTAAAAAGGCAAAGGGGATCTTTGTGTGCATTTGAAATTTAAACCAAACCACATTTTGGGCCTTTACCCATGTCAGGCTATTGGAACATGTGCTGTTCAGTGTTGTCTTGTTTGTATGTCTGTGGTTTTTTTTGTTGGTTTTTTTTAGAGATGTCAGGTGTTGGCAGTTGCTGTGGTCTGTTGTGCTGTCCAGTATTTTGGTATTTCCTATTATCCATTCAATGTATCATTAAAAAAAATATAATCTTGGCTTGTTGTCCAAAGTTTAATAAGTTATAAAATGAAAATATTTTCCAAAAAAAATATCCAAAATTTGTAGAATCCACAGAGAAAGGAAGATCCAAAGTTTGTAGAATCCACAGTGAAAGGAAGATCCAAAGTTTGTATGAAAAGTGTAATAGTATTCCAGGAAAAACTATTGTAAGTCCATCTCCAGTTAAAGTATTGGGAAAAAAAGTAGGTATCTGACAGATGGAAAAGTGATATCAGGTTACAACTCATCCTGACTGTCAATCTGCTAACCAAATATGAGGTTATTGTGACGAAAATATTTGTTGGACAAACAGACAGAAGAATGAAGGGATGACTGCAATATAGTCCAAACTCCAATACTGGGGATATGAAAATCAGGTAGAAGAAATGTTTGTTCTTTTAGTTAAACTTTAAATTGGGGATCATAGATACAAAAAGGCAACATAAATGAAGATTTTGAGTTTTATCAGGACGACATGTCACCTATACAATTGCAAAATATTATTTGTATGTTGCATTCAATTATGCATACTATTTGATGAAAAAAGTATAAAGCATTAACATATTTTATTCATAATCTTGCAATAAACTTTGAATGACCAAGGTCATTCGAGGATTTAAACTTTGCATTATACCTTATTTATCTCCTTTAATAAAACTTCATTTCTATTGATATATTGAAACTAAATAGATGACATCAATATGACATTAAGTAAAAATACCATTTGCAGAAAAAATGCTATTCATAACCAAGGTGATAGAAATCTCCATAAATGCATTACCATGATAAACTGAATGACAATTCAAAATCACTCTGGTGTACAGTTTTTAAGAAATTTTATGGTAAAGTGTGACAAAAGGACTAACAGAGAGCAGCAAATATATAACATCACTGCAACTTCAGAGGGCAGACTGAAGGTTTGTAGTCCATTCATAAACAAATTTCAAGTTCTTTTACATTTTCTTTTATTACTTTTTATCACAGTCAGTTGTTTGAATACAATAACAATAAAGCACCATCTACATATTGCACATATATTTCTGACAATGTACGTTTTTAAAGGTCAGTTAGGAATTTATCAACAAAAGGCAACATGTGATAAGAGTCTGTTGCTATGGAAACATTCGTCTGCTCTTCTTTCTCATGGCATAACAACAATAAATGGTGACCTGATGCCAATAACATTCCATAGCAGGCTTTATTGTTTTCTATAATAATAAATAATGACAAAATTAAATATTACTCTCCATTTCATAAAGTCAAGTAAAAAACAGTGTATCATTTTAATATAAACTTAATAAAAATTAAAAGTTGCCACTAAGACAATGGGAGAAATTAGAAATTTCTTCAAGAGTTACAAGAGTATTATTTCTGAAATGAAAATAAATCTAGGATAAAAAAAAAAGAAAGTCAAGATAACTTTGAAATAACCTTATTTCACCATTTGTTCTTAGTGAGAAATTTAAAAATTTAACTTTCAATGAAGTTTTCAGTCAAAAAGCTAGCAGTGTAAGATATGAGGTCAGTACAATTAACTGTCTGTGCTAACTGGTCTCTGAAATGATTGATTGGTTGATTGTTGTTATTTGCTTTATGTTCAGCAAATACTTCATAGTTTAGGGCAACATAATGGCTCCACACATGCTTCTTTAATTTCACAGTGACTTACCATCTTCTGTCAATTTGTATGATGAACAAAACTGGTTCATTCTTTCTAAAAATTTCTGCCATGTTTTATGAACTATTTTGATAGACTGAACACATTGTCTGCTGCAAATACAAAATACAGGTTCATCATCTTTGTGGTCAAAAAATTATATCTTAATGGATTCTCAATAATATATACTATACTTAAAATAAGCTGAATCCATCAATGTTCAAATAAAATAAGCCTTGAATGATGTCCTCTAGAATATCTATTGAATAAAGTTACACATTATTTTGTTTTTGTTTTCGAGAAGTTGTTATATCAAAATTTTCAAAAAAGTTGAATTAGTGGTATTAAAATCCCAAATCATTATTAACCTTGAAAATTAATATTGTCAATTTCAATATGAAGCATTTTAATAAAGATTTCATTCAAATTAAGGACAACATTTGAAAAATTAAGAATAAACTAATACTCTTGCATGCATAAAATAGAATTTTTGTTCATCTTTCAAAATGTTAAATATACAAAACATTGCATATTTAAAATAATTTACTGGATTTCACAGAAGTATTCATCAATTTTCCTTTTCTATCCATTGAATTCTGAACTTATACACCATTTCACATTTTAAATGCATTTTTTTACAAAAATCTTCTTGAAGTCTTATATACTTGTAAATACTCATGTTTTTTTTTTCACTTTTCAAGTGATATTCCATATTTTACAACAAATTTCATCCTTGCGCAGACAAGCCCTGGATTATTCAAATATTATTACATTATTCAGTTTCACTTTCATTTTTTGAGACACAACTGTGTTCTCCACATGTATATTTGAAAAACCAACAATTCAAAGAAAAATCATCAAATTCAGCATTTCACATTTTATTCTACATACAAACAAATTTGAAAAACTTCAACTTCTGACAAATTGTACAAATTCAAGTTAATTAGTTTACCATAGTAGTCTTTTCACAAAATAAGATATTTCATTTGAGGTATTGTTTTAAAATTTAACTTTTTATGAAAAAGGGTAGTCATCATAAAAACTGTTGCAGCATGAACCAATTTGCCTCTAAAAAATAATGTATGATATACACTACCTAGTAATAGACTCTGGATTAGTAAAATATATCCATAGTTTATCAAACAAAGACAACTGATCACCCTTAGGCAGAGGTACCATCATATCTAGTAAGGATATATTTATTTCCTCTAAGTCATTTCTATATGTCAACATGTTATCTGTAAATTCTACCCTGAAATGCAAGAAAAAATGATAACTGTAATACTGCATATTATTGATTCTTTGTTTACATTTTGACACATGTATAAGTTCAAAGGGAGGTAATTTTAACTGTGCAGTGATCATTTCCTTACATATGAATGGAAATGATGGCTTTTTGCTGGAACAACCAGATGAAGTAATGTTAGTTTCTTTTTAGCTTTTTCAATTTCATAAATTTAAACATTATATATATCAAGGAATCTCTTGTCAAGAACTTCCAGTACATGACCAGATGAAGCACAACAACAACAGAGCTGTCCCTTTTTAAAAATTGGTTATTTCTTCAGATTGTGTTCTGATTCGCAACAGGCCCATTTGCCCTTTCTTTTCAACTCCAATTCCTGTTGTATAGTTCTGAGAGGCCTGGCCTAGTCGTCATAAAACTTTCGAGCACGATTATTGTACTCAGATTCAGAAATCAACCAAACAAAATACTAATCGATAAATAATAATAAAGTTTTGTACTCTGCATGCTGAGTAAAGTTTTATGACAAGGGCCAAGGTTCAGGTTTTAATTTGTAAAAACTACTGAATGAAATATTTACCATGCTCTGAATACTGTTGGTATAGGGAACCTTGGTTTCATTAGTAATGACACATCTAAGCTATCTAAAATGTTAATAACATTTTATCATTCTACAGTTCCATGGTAAATAAAAAGTATTACTTTATACTCTGTACTTATTTTTGCATATGAGCTAAATTTGCAGTACTTTCATTGCTTGAATAAAAGAACCATTTCAAAACTGTGAAAAAAATAACAGAAAACATTTAACGATTGTATGTATAAAGAAAATGAATATCTGGGAATATTCTTGTCATTCTTAGCCAAATAATTCTGGTAAAAATTGGGATGCCATTAAAATTGGTTTTCAGGATAAGAAGTCAAACAGTATCATAGAAATAAACTTAACAAGTCGGTATAGCATGAACTGTATTTTCTATGACATTTTCAGTTTGAGGCTTTCAAACTTACTACAATGTATCTATAAATCTAGTTATATTACTAGGTAACTAAACTCAGTGTGAAGAACTCATTTTTTTTTTAATGTAATCTTGGTCAGTATAGTGTGATATGCAGATTAAACAGAGGAGATTAGTTTTTGCATCATCAAAGCAAAATCATAAATCTGAGCACTACTTAGCATCACAGAATTGGGCCAGTAATTAAAACCTTATGTTAATCAATCATAAAATATAGAGAAGGTTGATCAGTTTGCATGAAATACCTGCACACTCAGACAAAGATTCAGACAAAACAGTACATATAACTGAAGAGTCTCTCTCTTAGAAGTGAATTAAAGCAGAGAACAAAATCTCTATTTAACAAGAAGAATTTCAAGGATTTCGATCTCATGATAAATTCTTTGTGTAAAACTATTTTATTGGCAGTATTTTGAAATGAAAGATAGATTTTGAAACTAATTCATGGAAATAGAATGCAAATTGGGCTTGGTGATAATCTTGTGCAGCCTTTACAGTTCAATTCCAGCAGATCAACTTTTATAACCAATAAATGGCACATAACTTCAGATTAAATAAAGAAAAAAATCAAGAGAAAACCACTCACCTTTTGACTTTATTTCAGCTAACTGTATACTTTTTACTGCTTCAAAATTATTATCACTCTCAATATTTACTGAAATAGCTTGAACTTTCTCTTTTTCACATTTAGACTGAAACAAATAAGATCTATTCTTATAAATACACCAATTTTGTATTTCTTTTATTCCTATAAAGTATTAATCTTTACCATTTGTAGATGTGTTAATAGGAGATCTTAATCAGAAGGTCAGACCCAAAATGTAACTTTCAATTTTTGTCTCAGGCTTTTTAATTCTGTTTCATTCATGGATGTGCTACCCCACTTTTTTTTTTAGCTTTTTTTTAATTCCACTTGGTTCCAAAATGGTGTGTACAAACTTTAAAGTAACTAAAGGATAACTGAGCATACAGAGCTAAATACTGCTTATAATTGAAGGATATAGTTGCTAATTAAATTCCCACCAAAAATAAATAGCCTATCTCAGATGTCAACCTTACTTCTACTTTCATCACAGAATTATATGATTAGCTTCATAGCATGGCTCCATCAGCATTAATCAATTCAATTTATTAGTTTAATTCATCTATAAATTGAACAGTTTAGGTGTACAACTACTTTAGTTTCATATTTACTTTACAAAAAAGATCCTCTATGGAATAGTTTGACATATCAATTATCACTAACACTACATTACACATGAATTTTCTTCATAATTACCCAAAAAAAAAGAGCCTGTTAAGTAGTTCTAAATATGATAGATGCAATTGGAAAATGCCAGCTATAAAATTATAACAAATAAAAAGTTGAAAAAGACTGAAATCCAATACACAAACTTACCATTTGTATTTTATATGATACTTTTATGGAAATATCTGCTGATGACAGCCATTGATAATAGGATTCTATATCTGAAATTATACATGATATAAAGTTCAAAATTGCAGTTATTTTGTTTACCGGTACTCATTAGGCATTATTTTCATAACATTAACAGCATGAAAATTGGTTTTCCCGAACTAACTCCAATATGAAACCACTGTCTGCACTGCAAAATAGAATAGACTATTTTCATATTATTGACTTTTGACTCTGGAGTATAAAATTATTCGATAAGTTATAATTTAATTTTCATGTAAGTTTAGGGTCCAATGGGTTCCTTAATGATTCCCTTCCTTTGATAGTATGAATACTGTAAATTCAGAAATTATTGCGATGTTTTTATTATTGCGAAAAATGCGACAGGGATATAATCGCAATAATTTTAACTCGCATTTTGAAATTTTTTATATGAATTAAACAGGATTTTTCTCAATATCGCAAAAATTAAAATCGCATTTTAGTCTAAAATGACAAAATCGCAATAATAAATGCAGGCAATAATTTCTGAATTTACAGTAATAAATACACAAAGCATTATTGGACCAAAACAAAATAGCATTTACAGTAAACCAACTTATTTTCACAGATATTATATTTCACTTTTAGTCCTTTCTAACTGACTTCACAGAGATTTATTTTCACAATTTTCTTATTGTCATGATGTATTTATATAAGGAAAATTCAAATTGATACATATTTGTGACAATTTATTTTTCACTTTTATTTTTCTATTCTTGAAAGTTGCTAGAATAAACTGCTTGTGAAAATTAGTTGGTTTACAGTAGTATCAATACAATTAAAATCATCATAGATTTAAAGCTTTTTTTTTAGGTCTGAATGTCTACTTTGAATGTCCTGTGACCTATGACTGTTCCTTTTGGGTTGTCAAAATTTTTCTTGTAGGTGTTGATTTGATTTCCCCGCTTATCTGAATAAAAGGAAATTTGGTGTAACAGCAACTCAAAACAATTTCCAAATGTCTTTTTATTATTTTCGTGTAACATATGCAATCAACTAATTGATGCAATATGTTAATATACAGTAAAAAATATTCATTTCATACCTTGAAACTCCTTTTCTTCTTTCTCAAAACAAGTAGTCACAGTATTCCTGTAGAAACAAATGATTACTGGTATAAATTATAGAAACAGTAAATCCTTTGTATGTTACTAATTCTTAAATCCACCTGTATTAACCACTCATACTGTCAAATTTTGATAGGAACCACCTTTACATTTGTTTACCCTTTAAGAACCACAAAATCAAACAAAGTGTTGAACTTATAATGCTGGAGTTGAAGGGACCTGACCAAACTATTCAAGGTTCAAGTCATCTTAGGTCCCAAGTTCCATCATGTTTTCAAATTTCAATATTGTATCTTGTGTTATTAACCTGGAATTTTGAAAACATGTTTGTAACTCAAATCAATCCACATTGATTATATGAAAAAAAAATTAACCATAAGTATAAGACAGAGAAAACAGTACACAGCTGATGTTTACAAACATAAGTCTAAATAAATTACGAAAGTTCTTGTGGAATGAAACAAGTTGTGAGAGAGGTATATTTGCTGCTCTCTTTTGAAGACTAGACTGAATCTTATTACATTATTTTTATCAGTTGATTATCATTTTAATGATTCTTACACCTTTAAATGAAGGTCTTTGGCTTTTGTTTTTTTAATTCATTCTATAACTTTCTCACATAAAAACAACATTATTTTCTGCTTGATCAATCATCTTTTGACCTAAAACGTTCACACTTCAGAAGTGATATAGAGCAAAACCTCTGTATAAAGCAGGGCTTCCAAAATTATTTTTAGCCAGCCGGACATTTTATTTATTATCCTGATTTTAATCCCTTAAGACTAAATAAACAAAAGGCAATTATGGTAATCAGTTGCCGAGTTGGCCATCCCAATGATTGACATTAAAAAAAACGATATTAAATTTTCTTTGATTCAAATTCGAAGTTCTGACGTAAACTGTTAAATTGGCAGTGCATCATTCAAAGTGTGCCTTAGACTCTTTATTTGTGCAAAATAACGTTGTAAAAACTTTACTTTCGTTTTTATACTGGATGTTATCTTGACAATGGTAAAACATGGACCAGAGACGGATACGTAGATTCCGTGTACGTTTGCAAAGCGTGAATGGGTGGAAGTAGCTCTTTCTACGTTATTTCTTCTAGAAAATATTCGAAATAAACGTGAGATAAAGGTATCAATGATAATTTAAGCATTTTTTGAAGAAATTAGGATGCATAATTAAATTTCACACCTGCGCACACGTGTACTAGTTCAAACAGAGACATGTCTCTAGGTTCAAACAACGTGGTTATGACGATTTTTCATTTTCACCTTTTTAATTTTTTCATCAAATCATATTTGTAAACGTATTTCTGATAATTTAAATCTTTTTGACTATATTAATTAGATGCAAACCGCTGAAATGTAAGAAAATAACTTTGAACAGACCGATCAATGTCCGGTTCAAAATAGTTTACCTGTCACCTGAACAGGTAAATTTCAGCTGTTTGACAACTAATTAGCCTTGATTAAAATGAGAAGGTATTAAAGTAGGGGTTGTTTTGATAGTACTTAATGATCATGTCACTTTTATGACCGGAAATGTGTGGCTGTTAAAGGCAAAACGTTGGGTCAAAAAGATCGTGAATTATGTTAAATGACCGTCTCTTAAAGCCTTGAAAACTAAAAAGTAGTTGACCGTTTCATGCTTTGCCCAGCCGGACTTTTACCGGACATTATACAAATGTCCGGCATATATGACCGTTTTGGAAGCCTTGGTATTAAGTTTAACAAGAATGCACCATTGTCATGCTAAGCATACCCCACTAGTAATTCAAAGTAGCTATAAACAGGAAGTATGTGCCTGAACGATCTAAATCTTTACAACTCATCTCTGTCAAGCTGCAAACCAAATATGAAGTAATTGTGTTCCTTAGTATTGGAGAAATGTGTGATAAAATTTTTAAGTTCATCCACTATATGAAAAAATTAACAGAAAGTAGGAGTCTGAAAAGTGACAGAAATATGTTTTGGACAATTGTAAGATAAGACGAATCAAGAAAGGACAAACAAGGCGATACTGCTCCCCACTCCTAGAGTGTGGCTTGATAATATGTTCATTACAATATGTTTGAATGCTGCTTCTTAATGTGGCATATCACTTATGTTTGTTTGTCTCTGGTTTCCTGTATTTTATTAAGATTTTTCATACCAATAAATATAAAAATACCTGTGCCATTCTAATAACGGAGGATATACTTCAATAATCTTACTACAGCTTTTGTCATCCGATTTTTCTACAAAACAAAATCAAAATGGATTTACCATTTGGAATTTTTATAATTTTCATGTATTTGCAATTTTTACAAATCTTTTTCAGCAGTGATAAAGATGATATTTACTTTCCCACATATGAGTAACCCCATTACCATGACTTTTCAATACAAACTTATAAACTAAATATGATGCATACCTGACAAGGTCATGACAGAGTTGTTGATATTTTCATTTCAACACTATACTATAGCTAAGTATTTTTTTAATTTAAAGTACAAGAGGTGTGAGATTTTACAAAAAAGTTTCATTTATGTGAATTGCCATCTTATTTTTACTTGTTATAATTTATTTAATGAGTTATTGTTGCATCAAGTGAAGGGTTATCAAATGTAATATTGAGCTTCATAAACTCAGACTTTTACTCTTATTATTAGGAGCGTAAAGCAAGTTACTGGTGAGGAAATTTTTACATGATTTTTTACCGGTACAAGGATTAGATACCATCTAATGTGAATTTAGCAACTAAATGATAGATTTTTAGTTAATCGTGATAATCTTAAATTTTTTACTTTTGTGTAGCAAGGAGAGAAAACAAACAATTCATCATTCTGGCCATTAGTTCAGGAAAAATCTTCTTCCTTCTCTAAATCTAAACTTATCACAGATTTAAGTCCCTTGAAATCGACATGATAGAAGACTAGCATAGAATTCAATTTTGAAGTACATGTATATAAATCTGTTTGAATTCCTATGAAACAAATTAGCACAAGAAAGTGAGCTTACTCCCTCTACCATCCAAAAGTTCAATGACTTGATTGGCTTATACTAAAAAATAAAGTCTTTCAATAGGCTGTAAACAAAGCTGATGTTGATTTCATGGTCCATCTAACAAACAACTATACTTGATGTTCTTTGCACACACTCAAATTAATACTGTAACCAACTTATTTTCGCTAATTCTAAACTTTGAGTTTAGCCATTTCTAGCTGACATCCTTGTAAATTGTTTCCATGATTTTCCTATATTGTTGCTGTAATCATATAAGGAAATATCCAAGTTGTACAACATTAATTGGTTTACAGTATACAGTATACAGTAATCAGTTGTTATTACCTTCAGGTAGTAATGTGGAAATAGTCTGGTTAAAATTCTGTGTTCCTGATGTTTTCTTAAGGAACTCTTGGATCTAAAAAAAACATGAAGAACAGATACACACATTGATCCATTATCAAACTTTATAAAATTACAAATTAGTGTCCACCACATGATAGTATCAGCAGGAGTTCTTCAAAAATAAATTCCCAATATAATGACTAGTACTCCATTTATTTCAATTTTAGCTCTTATTTCATAAAAATATAAAAGATTATAAGTGCCAAAGTTGGTCATCAGGTGAAAAAGCATCAACCTTGATGATTTTTTTATCCTATTTCTTGACCTAGAAGACTGAGGGATGCTGATAGATGTGTCTCACTGTAGTCTGTATGTAGGGTGGACCTCAGTGAACACACTCACCCCAAAAGTGCTGAGTTCAGAGTAAACCTGATCTAAGAATGATAGTCTAAAGAAAGTCATTTCCACAAAAAATTCAGAATTTGCTAATTTTTCCTGATTTTTGGCTTCACCAGGACCTACAACTAGAAATGGTTGTTCCCTTAGCGTATTTCAATAATAAACATGAACAGTGCTTATATGCTCGAAAGTTGACACTATTTTTGAAAGTTTTAGGCCTCTGAACTGTTTGTCCCAAACACCTAAGGGAAGCCCACCCCTCCAGAAAAACAGATTTATCCAATTTCAATATACAAGGTTTGTATTTGGGCTCAAACTGCCCCTTAAACCTGAGAAACTTGACAATAAATAGATTAGGTTGAGGGAACACGCATCAATTTTGAAATACCTACCATACAGATGACCTCTAAAAGTATGGAGAGCCATTGGAGCTAAAAATTGGTATTTTGGGTAGAGGCTGTAATATTATGGCCCCCACATGGTAAGAGTTAATACATTTTTTGGATGATATTTAAAAAAATTTTTTTTACAGCAAAATGTCATCATATTGAGTAAAATATGATTGATAAATTAATAAAAAGACTTTACTTCTTGTTTTTTGGTTTTACATGGATAATGAGTTTTCACAAGTGGAAATTAAAACCTTCTTACTTTTATTTCATTCTGATCTTTGCAGTTTTAGTTTTCCTCAGCATATTCAATTATGCATATTTTTCCAAAGTAAAACCAAATGTGAGTATGCAGTAAAAACAACTGCTCTAGTAGTTATCTTCCCTTACCTTGTTTGATGTTGCTGATGTGAGGAGTGAGTAGTAAAATAAAGCTCTGTCTTGTATATCCATGTCCTCATAGGACATCATCATATTAAATAGAATATCACCAATGTCTGCAATAAAATATATGTACAGTTTGTTGTGTCATTGATATCTGAAAATATATTACCTTAAAGATATAAACTATAAATGTGTATTGCTTTTCTGTTAACTTAAATCTTACGGCATGATGTAAAAAAAAAAGAATGAACTAATTGTAATGAAATTTTAACAAAGTTTTGTCCGGTAAAATTATTTGTCAAAACTATACTTCTCAATCTGACAGCTGCTTATGTCTATTTCTAGACTTCATTTCTATAACGAACACACTGTGGTCCATTTGAAATCTTTTCTGTTTATGTATAAAATAACACATGGCTTAAAGATCTAAACTACTATATACAAATTTTTTATTTATATTTCAGGAGTTTTGCATATTGACCATAACAAAAAAAGCAAGAAACCATAATTTAATTTTTCTGAAATTCAGAAAAATAAAGGTTGGCAGATCTTCAAACCAAAAAAAAAAACTTTTGCATAATCACTGTGTGTAATATTTGAAAGGTGTTCTTTCTAGGGAGTATTATTCTTTGTTTAATGTATTTAATATTTGCGTCAAACAGATTCAGTATACTTGGTTTTTTTAAACGGTAATTACCTGTATATAGCTGCTTTGTTCCATGACATACCAGAGGATTGTGACATACATTAATTACCTGTATATAGCTGCTTTGTTCCATGACATACCAGAAGATTGTGATATACCGTATATCGGGTATTTTTCGCGTGTGTATAATTTTCGCTTTGTTCGCTGCAGCTAAAGAAATGCTAAAATTTGACCCTGCATAAATTTCACTGCGTATTCCAAGATTTATCAATGTTTGAAAGTTCACAAGAAAGTGTCTACTTAATAAAGATCTCTGTTTATATAATAATTAAAATGACTAATCATATATGGCACGCCTTTTGACAACACAGCAATCAGTGACAGGTTAAAAGATGTTAAATAGCGACGATCTATTGTTTGGTATCATAACACAAACATTTTGCATCTGATGTAAAATTAAAATCGAAATAAATCACATTTACACGGACATTTGTTTATCTGTAATGATCAAAACCTTCAACTTTTAGCATGCCCCAGTGTCTTTACATATGTTCCTTGGAAGTTCACTGAATTATGTGTATTTTCGTTTGTAGTACTCATATTTATCTGCCATTGATTACCTGTCAGTCAATCAAGTTTATGTTGTTAACAATACTATACAGTTTTTTTTTCGCGTGTATTTTCCCATTCAGTGAAAATTATACACAATGAAAATTTAACCTGCCCATTTTTTCATCAAATCGCGAAAAAAAGCGGACACAAAAAAAACCCGATATACGGTACATTCATTACCTGTATATAACTGCTTTGTTCCATGACATACAGTAATTACCTGTATACAGCTGCTTTGTTCCATGATATACCAGAAGATTTTGACATACAGTAATTACCTGTATATAGCTGCTTTGTTCCATGACATACCAGAAGATTGTGACATACAGCCAGTATACCATTCCCAAGGATCCAACTACTTCCATCTATACTGGCAGCGTTCTGTACCAGATGATTAAGAAACTTAATGGTGGCCTGCAAAATAAACATAAAAAATATATTGAAAATACTTACTATGAAAACCAGTCTATGTAGAGGTTAGTATCATTTCCTTGTTACAAGACTTTTAATCAAACAAATAACACTTTGGAACAGACACATGGTAAACAGTAATTTTCTTGATATTTGTTTCACCTGAAATGGAAAGAGCTTTCCAAATGCAAATATGCTTGATAAACAGCAAAAAATACTTCTTTATATTACCCAGTTAAGGTAACAGGTACTTAAATGGGTGATCTTTATGAAATTTTGCATGCAACTAGAGAATGAGGAACTGCACATGAACATAACAAAATGAAATATAACATTTAAATTTTCTGTTGCATCGAGTGAACCAACACCTTCTAACGGTACAGGCTGGTAGAGAGTAATCAGGATGGATACCCGGAGGTATGCTGCGGTTGTCTTAAAACCTCAGGAAAATAATGCTACACAAAGACAACAACATCGTAGATTACTGCAAGGAAAATCTTTATTATGGTCTACATGTTTCGCCACTTACAGTGGCGTCTTCAGGACAATTTAAACATAGAAAACAAATACTGAAGTACATAAAATGCGGTGCATATGGGGTTACAAAGGTTAACAAGACGTAACGTCACAATAATTGATTTGACAACGTTAAAATGAAAGTGAAAGTAAAAGTTAATAATGAATTGTCAGTGTCTTTTCCAAAATGGACAACACCTCACAGGACATTCCGTACCATTCCAAAAGGCTTCACTCGGAAAGAGGTACTACTTCCAATTGCGTCGGGAATGTTGTAAGATGTATGGTAGTCGCACATGTAGGGCATGGTGGAAGTTGTGTTGTTACTTTCACTTTCATTTTAACGTTGTCAAATCAATTATTGTGACGTTACGTCTTGTTAACCTTTGTAACCCCATATGCACCGCATTTTATGTACTTCAGTATTTGTTTTCTATGTTTAAATTGTCCTGAAGACGCCACTGTAAGTGGCGAAACATGTAGACCATAATAAAGATTTTCCTTGCAGTAATCTACGATGTTGTTGTCTTTGTGTAGCATTTAAATTTTCTGATATATAGCAAATTAAATATCTGGAAAATAGTAGTACAAATGTATTTTCTTTAATAAAATGTTGACACAGAGATATGTCTTTCTTGCCTGTATATAATTTTGATAATTTTGATAGTACAATGCAAATGTTGAAATTAAAATAGCAAAACTTTAACATGCAAATATTCAAAGTCGATGAAAGACAAAAAAAGATATGTTATTGCTACTGAAATTTCTTTTTTATTGTTTTCATTGATAAAATTTATATTAATTGATTTTTGCTTAATCTTTAGTGGCAAATATTTCATGCATTTTCAGGAGGAGTATAACATTTATTGGGTGTCACAGAATTTGTTTTCTGAATATAAAAAGTAATTGTAACATTGAGACAAGAAATCTTATTTTTCAACATTTTTAGATATTACACAGACACTCAAATGATTTATACAGCAAACATGAATTCAGTGACCCCTATAATTTAAAAAACAATAAAACAGCAATTAAAGTTGAATTTACATGTCAATTTAAAGTAAATTTGTAGTACAGGTTTTTAGGAAAAAAACTTATAAAGACAAGCTACTAAATCTTTTTTGCGATATTTCCATGCATCCTATAGATTTGTACTTCTTTCTATAAAATATACGATCTCCAAAAGTATAAAAGTAACTTCTATTTTTACGCGATATTCATATGCAGTTCCACAGGCTCTAATTGAATGCAAAATTTCAGGAAAATTCATGAGATAGAACATTTACATACCTGTTATAATTAAAAAGTATGTTATGACCATAAAGCTAAAAATACTTTTCTGTATTTGTATTGGTTTTGGACTGGTATTAATCACAGTCATAATTGGGGCCAAAATAGGATATCATTGACCTTATTCCTATGACCATACTCATTAACAATCAACAAGAGCTTCACTTGTTCTAAAATGATTATTAAACTTACATGTGGTGATATCTCTTTCTGTAGTGAAACTTTCCTCATAACCTGAAGAAAATATTGGTAATCTTTGGCTAAATCCTCAGATGTTGTTGATGTAACTTGGGAATGTAGTAGGTTAAGTATTTCTAAATACATTGAGCTGAAAGGAAATCAGTTCTTTAAATGAATGAATAGACAATTTCTAAGTTTATATAGTTTAATGTTATCAAACTATAAGTTATTTTCACATTGGTTGTAATGAAATACAAATGTATATGATTTCCCAGTCTAATATATATATATATGAATAATTTACATGTGCAATAATCCCATAATTTCAATCATCTGAGGTCATACAACAATATGTGTAGTCAAGATGTTGTCATGAGGTTGCATCAAAATGAATTTAGAATGAGTTGAAAAAGATTAAAGTTCCTTGTATTTACTTCTTAATTTATGTACATTAAAATAGAATAACTAATCAAAGATTTCAAATACAGAAACATATTCAACTTGTGGCTGAATACAATGATAATTCATGCACTACACATGAAGTAGTGTTATTAGGCCACTCTTTGAATATTTTTTTTACATTAAAATTCTTGGATTAGTTATTCTATATTTATCTCTATGGTATCTGAATGTATTCTATTATTTTTACTTTATTTCTATCATAAAAAAAAACAACACAATGAATGTTTTTTCAGTGTTAAGAATATTGAAACCAAATACCTGTCTACTTTGGACAAAACTGTAAGTCTTGATGTCAGTGTTTGGATTTTACAGGTTTTATCACATAGTCAGAATATAGGTGCTAATGTTACTTAAAAAGCATTATCATTTAATTACCTCAAAGTTAAGAAGAAAACCCATGCATATATACTTATCATATAATTTCACATAAAATACAAAAAAGTATACCTTGAAGGTGTATATACTTACCTATCAGAAGTTGTCTCTCTCAAACATTCCAAGAAATCTAAAGCATGTGGAATGAAATGTGGAAATCCTGATATTAATCCTTTAATAAATCTGAAATAAGAACAATAGATATAAACATTTGTATTGTTTAGCAACACAACTAAAACTACCGGTATACAAACACAAATCTATGACTTTATACGCACAATTCCTTAGATTTATAACCAATGAAAGTTTTAAACAATAAACATCATCATTTCTACAATAATACCACTAGAAACCGCCATGAGAACAACTACACAGAAGTGTGAGAATAGCAGCTAACCACATTGTTAATAACTTTATTGACTAACTTTCACTTTTAATTTAACTAGATTCTTATTTCACTTTCACTTTCTATTTATATCTATAAGGTCGTCATAACAACCTTTATTGTAACATTACTTCCGGTGAACCACACAACCGCAAAATTTGTACTTCTCTGTTTGATTTCATAGGTAATATTGTCCTGAAGACACCACACTTGTTGGCGAAACATGTCGACCAGAATAAACTCTTACCATGCGGTAATTGATGGGTGTTGTTGTCTTTGTTATCGTTTTAATAAACATCATAGTCAAGGTTATTCAGCAAGCTGAAGTTGATTTTCTTATGTTATGCTTACAGTAGTATTCTGGAATTCACAAAAGCTTGATAAACAAGTACTGAACATGTTTATTTTGGGATAACACAAAAATCAACATATTCATTTCAGCAGCAACTGTTACAGAACATATTACACATACCTGTTGATGTCTTGTGAAAAAGACCTGCTACAATGTCTCTGATACATGCCAAATAATGCTCTAAACAAAACAACAACAGCTCTGTGGTTTCCTGTATGCCACACTAATTTGTGTAAATATCCTACACTAGCCAATAACAGGGCACCATTCATATCTACAATATAAATTATATGATGACTGAACAACATCCCAGAGAAAGTTAATAACAAAACAAAGTTCCAATTACAATCTTTTGAACAACCGGACTAAAAAAAGACAATAGATCAGTGATGGCCTATATGCAACAGCAATGTGTGTAAAAATTCTTCATTAGCTTTTAAAATGGCACCAATCGACGCTGCGATTGATACAATATGACTTAACATTGAAACAGCTTTGCTACATCAATGTGATGATAAATTACACAGATCAATATAAATAAAGAGATGTGGTATTGTTGCTTATGAGACAACTACCCACCCAATGACTGAGATGTTAACAAGACAATTACAAAACCGTTCGTAACTTCTATCTAAAGTATACAGTGAAAACACTAGAAGAAGAATTTTATAAGTTGAAATCAAAACAATAAAATTGTTACCAACACACATTAATTGTTATAACACATAGAAAAATCAGAAATGACATATAAATCATTATTACAAGCAAGTAACAGGGACACATTTGTATTCCTTTTTTACGTGTGTAACAACATGCCTCCCAAAAAAGCTCCATAAGTATAGTTAGACTATGGAGAAAAAATTGAAAGACTGAGACAAAATATTTCACATACATGTATGTCATTCTTCACCATCTTTACATAAAACATGTAACTGGAATTGATAAAGTTTAGCTTTGACAAAAGCTTAATATTATTTCCTTTTCAATCCAATATAGTGACTGAATTTTCAGCTGGTATACTCATCTTTCTGTAAGAATGCCAAACATGAACATTTCCTATAATTGGACATAGCACTTGAAATATTCGCTCAAGTTTGAAAACATAACTATTTAATTCAAGGAAGTTTTGCATTCTTCAGCAGATTTTTTTATGACTGCTTCTATTTCATATCTACTGAGAAACCTTTTCAACAGCATCTGAATCATAACAAAGTTAACATGAAAATTTTTGTCATTTCTTAATTCTTTTTTCAAATATTTTATAATTAAACATCAGTTTACAATTTCATGGTGATAATTTCTAATTTAGCTAGGTATTTAAGAATATTTTATGACTTATAATGCTAGTTAAATGTTTATTTTACAGCCTTAGTGAATCTTCTTTAATAGCATATAAACCCTGAAAAATTAATTCCAGAATCCTTCATTTTTTATTTTGTGCAACAAGTCATTGTAAAATATAACATTCTTACCACTAGGTAGTTCACTTAATCGTGGAATGCAGGAATTCAGTAACAACAGTTTACTAAGTTGACAGTCGATTGGGTCAAATACTCTAGGATAGAAATTCAACTGATACTTCTTAATTCCATAGTCTTTTTCTGAATCCTAAAAAAAATCAATGTGATACCTGTCAAAATCAAACTTTCTGTGCATAAACTTAAAACTTGTCTTATTCAAATCAAATCTTGTATCAGGATGTTCAAAAATAGTCAATAGTAATTTATTCTGTATAACTAATTAAAACAAATTATTAAGAACGAAGTTCAAAAATAGTCAATAGTAATTTATTCTGTATAACTAATTTAAACAAATTATTAAGAACTTAATGGGTTGGATTAGACAGGTTTCTTTTTTTTAAAATTTATGTGATATAATATGTAAGACTCTAGAAGCACAAACAATATTAAGACAAAATCTTTTAGATACCCATTACACAAATATTTCTTATGTGTGCATTCATACATTAAAAGTGGTTACTCTCCATAAATCTTTGGGAACTTCCAAATATTTTGCTTTGATATAGAAATATCTCTTTGAAGACATATTTTTTTAACTTCCATCATCCCCATGAAAAATAACTAGGATAAACTGCCTTGATAATACATATTTTGGCGTTAATATTGATTCACTTATAGGGTCTTTGCATCGGCACTAAACACATTTATTTAAAAACCAGTTGTTGGCATGACACGGGTTATGTTCTTCTCATATATGTTATGATGGTATGATACTAAACCCCTAACGGGAAGGATTGTGCCTGATATTCATATGATGAAGACATAATCTTTCAATCAGTTTAATTGAAGTCTGGAGCTGGCATGTCAGTTAACTGCTAGTAGTCTGTTGTTATTTACTGTGGATTCATTAATATTCGTTGGATACCAATTTTCGTGGATTTCGTGGGTATAGGGGAACCACAAATTTAAATGTTCAACGAATTACAAATTTCCTAAAGGAAATATGCAGACTTTGCCGAAACCACGAAATTAAATATCCACGAAAATGCAAGTTTTCTTCAATCCACGAAAATTGGTACCCACGAAAATAAATGAATCCACAGTATGTATTATTGTCATTTTGTTTATTTTCTTTGGTTACATCTTCTGACATCAGACTCGGACTTCTCTTGAACTGAATTTTAATGTGCGTATTGTTATGCGTTTACTTTTCTACATTGGCTAGAGGTATAGGGGGAGGGTTGAGATCTCATAAACATGTTTAACCCCGCCGCATTTTTGCGCCTGTCCCAAGTCAGGAGCCTCTGGCTTTTGTTAGTCTTGTATTATTTTTAATTTTAGTTTCTTGTGTACAATTTGGAGTTCAGTATGGCGTTCATTATCACTGAACTAGTATATATATTTGTTTAGGGGCCAGCTGAAGGACGCCTCCGGGTGCGGGAATTTCTCGCTGCATTGAAGACCTGTTGGTGACCTTCTGCTGTTGTCTGTTCTATGGTCGGGTTGTTGTCTCTTTGACACATTCCCCATTTCCATTCTCAATTTTATTATCTTCAATGTCAACACTCCAATGATCTCTTTGTAAATAAAGTACCACTCTGTTTAGTTAACTTTAGTTTTGCAAAAATAGAAAAACAGATTAGACACAAAATTTACAGATATCACCACTGTTGGTGGAGGTTTCCTCCCCGACAGTATCATCAACTCAGTAGTCAGAACTTCTATGTTGACACCATTGAAATGGTAATAATTTAAAATTAACTGTTTACAAAACTTTGAATTTTTCGAAGTACCGGTACTATGGATTTTCTACCCCAGGAATAGATTACCTTAGCTGTATTTGGCAAAACCTTTCAGAATCTTGGGTCCTCAATGCTCTTCAACTGCATATTTTATTTGGCCTTTTAAATTATTTTGATTTGAGCGTCACTGATGATTCTTTGGTAGATGAAAAGCACATGCAGCATTCAAAATTTTAAGCATGGCATCTATGATGTGTTTACTTACACTCTGTGTGTAGCATAAATGGCCTAGAGATATTCAAAGATCAATTTTGGTCATTACTTAATTCAATTGAAAATTTTTGGCTGAAATTTATTGTCAAGAAACTTTTTCCAGCATTCACATACATGATTTGTCAATAAAATATAGACAGACACTCCTCCATACCAGTAATATTTGTTTTAACCAATGAGCAAAAAATAATCTCTGAGCTGGAACCAGTGATGGGTGATCTAATCCTCTGATTAAACTGCCAATGATCTGTGATTCTTCTTTCTCTGTTAGTATCTCATTTTCAAACTCTACCTTAAATAGAACCAACCATTTTTAATGGCATTAATATAAGACACAGCTCATCAAAACAGGTCAGTTATCTCAAAACTGAAAATGAAAAGATTTGTTCAAATGTCAAACAGGGACAAATAGGATTATAAATGCATCGTTTACTACATGTTTTATGGCAACTAGCCCTTTTCAAGATTTTTTTTTATTTCCCTCACATTTTTTTTTTTTTTAAGAAATGATGGCATCTGTTTGATAGATGTTGAGATCCTCAACCATAATTCTGAAAGGAGATAACAAACAAATCATTCAGTTATCCAAAATTTGGAAGCATCTGTCTATTTCTGCAAATTTTGATATCTTTACTAATGAATTTGAGTCAACTTTCCTATTTTATTTCCAGTTATAATGGTAGCCATGTTTAATAGTGCTTAAGAGGTCAACAACTATATTTTTAAATGAGATCATAAATGAATCATTTCTTTAAAGTTCAGGGGCAGCTGGCCCTTTAGCAGATTATTTTACCGTATTTCTTTTAGTGATGTTATCTGTCTGTTCCTTTTATTTTATAAGGAAATGACAGCCACATAATTTGCTTAATCAGAATTATGTACTTTTTTTAATAAGTTTACCAAACAAATATGAAAAAAAAAAGGATGGTATTAGCCTAAATATGTTTCAATTTTTTATTCAGGTATACATCACCTTAACAACTTTTGTTAAATTAGTTAAAACTGTATGAATCATAAAAAAATAATTTTCTGACTTTTTCAAATACCACAATATTATGTTCTCTTTCACTTACCATAATAAAAATACCACAATATTATGTTCTCTTTCACTTACCATAATAAAAATACCACAATATTATGTTCTCTTTCACTTACCATAATAAAAATAATCAAATGAAGAATAACAGGATCCATGGTTGACATATGATGTAACATCAATGGTTTGAATATCTGAAACAATATAAAAATCATGATAACACATAATGTTACACACTCTAGAATGTTAAAAAATAATGTACAACATAATTCAAACCAAGTTATCTACCTTGATTTTTAAAACAGTTGATTACTTTTGATAACGTATATCTATATTTGAGAAATCATCAATCTAGATTAAGTTTTGTACAATGAATTTGATTATATTTATCAAGTAATACTTTATAAAAGGTTGTTATAGACAATATCTTGTATCTAGTGCTTTTACAGTTGTGTTTTTTTAACAATTATTGAACCTCAATTCTGAAATCACCTCAGTTGTCTTGTGTTACAGTACTTGCAACTAGGGCAAAACTTCTTTTGCCTCTCTGGTAATAATCTAATTTTAGTCAAAAGAATTGCTTTTAAAGTTACTTTTGTGTCTAGATCTGAACCAGATCAAGAGGAAGCTCACATGATGTTTTTAAAGTCAATGGAATGTACATTTATATCCATCTTTAATTATCTTCTTTATATCATTATTCTGTTTCTCTAAAGTCCTACAGGAAATCATAATTTCTTTCAAGTGTACAAATGTTAACATAGTCTCATTCAGTTTACTGCAATGTATGACACCTAAAAATGTTTATTTTTTACTGGTGTGTTTGAACTGCTGTCTCAAAATGTTTATTTTTTACCGTTGTTTTTGAACTGCTGTCTTAAAATGTTTATTTTTTACTGGTGTTTTTGAATTGCTGTCACATTGATTTTAATATGGCATATCACTTTTTAATATGGGGTATTTCATTTTGATATGGCTTATTTCTTTTTATTCACATAGATCTACATTGTTCAAAATAATTTAATATTTTATACATACAGTGGGTGAAATGTTATGATTATTCTGGACAATTTCCTTGACAGATGTGACCACATGCCACAACCCACTGGGAGTATAAAGTTCAGGATTTTCCATGATAATAGAGACCATTTGTCTAAATTCTTGTGGTTCTACTGTAGATTGTTGTCTGAGAAATCCCTTCAAAAACAAGGTAGATATTAAACAAATGTTTTATTGCTAAATTATGAGATTCTAATATTAATGGCTGTTGGGAATTAAATTTTTGGGGAGGGTCAAAAGGCACTTTTTATTTTATCCCATTATGCATAAATTTTAATTGATCAAGTTATCTTTCTACAATTATCTGCACCCATTAAAATTTAAAAGAAATAATTTTGGATATGCTTATGCAATAAATTCTGGAACAGCCCCAAACAAATTTACCACATAATTATTTTTAAAAATTATCTCATATCAGTTGCTGAGTGATTCTCAGAATGAAAAATTGTGAAAAATTGAAAGCATCAAACAGTGGAAAGCTGAAATTCCAAGGGATCTAAAAAAAATAGAATAGTTTAAAACTGTCAAGATACACAGTTATATTATGGCAGCAATAATGCATAGCTGCCAGTTATCTACACTCAGGGACTTACAGTTGATTAGCAGTGGCACTGACCATGAAGTAGTAGTAAATTATTACTATAAATAAGTACTGTAATAAATTTAACGTATCATAACTTCATAGGTGCATTTTGCACATTTATTTTTCGACATTGGTACTCAAAAAACTGAAATGGCTATAATAAAAAATAAAGAAATGGCAAAGTCATAAACTACACCAAAAGTCCCAATATAAACTAAAATAAATCTTGCGTAAAATAAAGGTCAATGACCTTATTTTTAAATGAATCTAATTACAAACCAAGAAATATTCATTGTTGACAAAATAAAATTTGAGTCACAGTACCACATTTGAAAAACAATTTTTACCTAGAAAATAAACACCACAATTGTTATTATTTAAGTGATTCTGAAATGATAGGGTGGATGATTGTCTGAGTAAATGGTCCAAATTTTATTTTTCGATTTTAACCAGGAAGTGAACAAAATGCTGCCTTAAATACTGGTCATGATCCTTCAAGAATTCTCCAAGAAACCATGTAGGGGCTCCTAGAATGAGAGAGTTATTAAAATTGGCAGTCAAATATAGGGAATAAAAAAATCTGCACTTCAATTATAATAAAATTGCATTGAAGTAATGGGGGAAATTATTGGGTCCCCTGTCCCATCAGCATTTTTCATTATCATTTTCCTTTTATATGAATAAATAAAAATAAATTAGTCAGTTATAGAATGACATATTATACTCACATTTTCACCATTTTCCTCTGTCTGATGGAATCCACTTAAAACATAAAGATAAATCACAGTGAAGTTTTGTGAGAAAACTAACAAGAAGAACATTACAATAATTAAAATTTGTTTTTGCATTTCAATTTCTGCCAGGAATATCATCATGGAAAATAAATAATCTTATATTGTCAGTTATCCAAGATCTGCAATAGTAAATTCCCAAATTAAATTTTGAATTTCTTATATATATATATTCAAAATTTTATTCTTTGTTTGAAATTATTTTGTGTGTTTTTGTGTCTTTTTCAATCTATAAATGTATTAAACCTTACCAAACACCATTTACAACTATTTTGGTCACCAATGTAGCATAATCTTGATGTATATACATTTTTTCCTGTCTAAATGATTTAAAAATATATTCACGGTCTGACCAAAGCGTCCCCTGAAAAATAGCAACTCAAATTTATAATAATGATACTGATCTTAGCAAATCAAATTTAATAATATTCAGTTCTGTGAGCACAACATATGTTTCTGGAACAATCAGGTATATGTTAAACCAAAAATTTTGAGAGTGAAAAAATATAATTTGTTTGAGAATTTGAGATAATTAAAATCAAAATGTATTGGCTATTTTCTTTTATAATTTGCATTAAATGTTTCATCGAATATGGCATAATTTTTCTTGTGTCTAAAAAAAAATCACTGAAAGTTCTAGACATTTATAATTTTTTTCTGTTTTCAATACCTCCACTTGTATACTTTTGTTAGTCTATCAGACATCATTTCAGTTTCAGATTACTTGAAGAGATTTTTTTCTGAAAAGAGGACATGGGACTCAACCTTATTAGGGTAAAAGAGATCTTTTATTACAGGCAACCAAAGGACAGTAGAAAACATTTACATTTGTTCACTTTTATCCTGTAATCAACCTATCTACTATAAAAATACAGGTGTACAGATAGCAGGAAGTGATAAAAGTATAGTTTACCTTTAAAGTCTCTTTAAACTATAAGTTTAATAATGTTCAATTGCAAGAAAAAAACACATTCGTACAGTGTAGGAAAATATAAAATTTATTTGTACTCGCTACTAAACAGGATAAAAGCTCAGGGGCCATGCTTTTCTCTCTGTTTCAAAACCTTGTACCAGAAAATTTTACATTTTCTTACTTTGTATGAATGTTGTTAATATAGCACTTGTCTGTTTTCTGTAAAAGCTTGATTCAATTGTGTGCTTGACAGTCCTACATGTACTTGCTAACTCCTCTCTTTTTTTAAACCTCAAACTTCAACTTGAATCTCCTTTTTCTGAACAACTATCATAATATACTTACTGGTTTCCATTCTTCTATTTGGCACAAGCACTGACAACAGCAAGATTTGTAGTAGCAGCTCTCTGAAGAATCAACACCAGAAGTAACTGCTTTTGTTAATATCTTTACAATGGATGAACAAATATCAGTTGCCTGAAATAAAATATCTTATGACTGATATGAAGTAAATCATATACTTCATACTTATTTATAAATTTTCATGCATTATAATGCATAAGTTTATTTTCCCTCATACATTATAGTTCTTTGGTAATTTAAAGTGTGACTGCAAAGATTGTGCCAATGATTTCGACATTTATCCTGTTAATATAAAAATAAAATGTGGTATGATTGCCAATGAGACAACTATCCAATGGAGTTCAAATGAAGTGGATGTATGCAATTATAGGCAACTGTACGGCCTTCAACAATGAGGAAACCCATACTGTAAAATTGGCTATAAAAGGCCCTGACATGAAAAATAAGTGATATTTCATATTACACAGTTTGGTGTTTTGTTTTCTTTAATCAAGTTTCCTCTTGGGGTATCTCTTGACTTAAAACAGGCAAATATGAAAAAAGTTGTTAATTTCCAAGTCTTTGGTTTATTGTGGAGAGTTGTCTCATTGGCATACATACCACATCTTCTTATTTTTATGTAATGACTTATGTAAGAATTCACTGTTTTAGAATCTAATGCATTCTAAGTGATAATTCAAAACAGAAAACATCAAAACTTTGTGCTTGGTCAAAAACTTTCTTAAAAATGGATATATATCCAATCAACAGTGTTATGTTCTTTTCATTTTTGTGTATCAACAATGAAATTACTAACAATACTTTAGAATTAGATTAAGGAAATGCAAACCGTTTTGAGGCACACAAATCCCTTATCAATATCTCTATGTTTTCTGTATTCTGTCTTAAACTGTATAAAATTTATTTGAATACTTCACATATGTTGCTCTTTGCCTTTCAAGTTGATATATTAACATATTTTACATAAAACTCCATTTAAATGAAAAGATTAAATACATGTACTAACAAGAATTTCAAACTGTATCATCAAACTTGTCATAGTACTAAGAAGCTGACATGAAAATAAGACATCTTTGTTGCTTTCCAAACATTCTTTCAGTGATCTCAAAACTTCTTCTATACTGTATAATTATATATGATGAAAATAAAACTGCATACAGTGCAATAGACCTTAAATTTTGAACCATACAATATCCCAGTAAAAAAACAATAATCATATTCTAAAAGCATGCAAATTAGTGTCTTTTGTTGTGGGGATGTATAAGAACCCGTCCATGTCCACTCTGTGTTTTTGTTAGATGTATTTCTATTTGTTTCCATCTGATGAGTTAAGCCTTTTTCAACTTTTTCAACTGATTTTTATAGTTTGTTCTTATGTTGTACTGTTACACCACTGTCCAAGGTTAGGGGAGGGTTGGCACCTTCAAACAAATTTAAACCCACCACATTCTGTATGTGCCTGTCCTAAGTCAGGAGCCTGTAATTCAGTGGTTGTCGTTTGTTGCTGTGTAACATATTTGTTTTTCGTTCATTATTTTGTACATAAATTAGGCCGTTAATTTTCTCCGTTGAATTATTTTACATTTGTCATTTCGGGGCCTTTTTTTAGCTGACTATGTGGTATGGGCTTTGCTCATTGTTGAAGGCATACAGTGACCTATAGTTGATAATTTCTGTGTCATTTGGTCTCTTGTGGAGAGTTGTCTCATTGGCAATCATACCACATCTTCTTTTTTAAATTTAAATTATCAAAACATTTCATCTTCTTGCTCTTTCCTTAAAACAGTGTTGACAGCTTGGATCAACATGATACTATTCAAGTTTTAAAACAAAATTGCTTTTACTGATAATACTAAACAGAAAATTGAACAGACTTTTGCAGTCCACATTTTGACCCTTTATAGCCTCACTCCTTTTGGATTGCTGTGCAAGGTTGACTTTCCAAATTTTCATCTGTTGTCACAGGAGATCAATTTCTCAATATGGTCTATTTTGATTTAAAATACATATAGGGTAAGTGTTTTGCACATCGAGGAAAACAGTTCATACCTAAATTTTGATTTTATATATACATATGTATAAAAAAATGTGTGTCTGTATAGGCCTTTAGGTATTTCTTTTTCTTTTTAAAATTGGTGTACGACTACATATTTATTAAAAGTAATTCTGTCTAGCTGCAACCCATTCTACTATTATTTGCAGGAATTTTGCCTTATCTGTTTTTCCATGTATGTAGAAATCTCCATGTTTTCCTATATAAAAACATAAAAACCAATCTGATCAAAGAGTTAAATAGAAGACAGAGACATTGATTACCAGTAAATTAATTTGGATGTTTCAGATGTGACATCACATTATTAAATCTTTTATCATAGAGTATAAATAGCAACTTCAAACTTGAATGCATTGCATACTGACTTGAAATACATACTCAATACCACGACAAAATGAAGTTTGCTCTTCAAGCAACACCAAAAACTCTTGCTTTTGACGACACACTATTGATGAATCATGTAGCACCTAAAATACAAAATAGCTATTCAGTTACATCAAAAAAATTATGAACAAGAGGCCAGAATAAATAGTCAAGCAAAGGCTAATTAAACATACCATTAATTTTTAAAAAGTGACATCTGGACATTAATCAACAAATTTCCCACGTTTACTGTTGATTCATGATCTGGTTAAGTGAATCTCAAGGCACACAGATTTAGCATCACAATCATATGAAATCATATCATTTTAAAATGTAAGTAATAAATTAGTGAATTTAAAAACAAAAATAAGAGATAAAATATTGTAAAATGTTCTCAGCATCTTGTGACATGGCCATAGTTATGATAGAAGGGAAACTTGTCTACAAAACAGGAAAAAACAATGAGTTCATAATAAAGTTTATAATCAAATGTTGCTTATACATGTAATAATGCTATTTGAAATTAAAATTTTCTGTCTAGAGTTATTTCCCTTTGTATAGATGGCTATGATATAAATTTAGACCAACTGTACACACATTATCGTCAACAGAGGCTGACATTTCAAACTTTAAAATTTTTTTTAACATGACACAAAAAATGAATCTCATGAAGCATGACTAGACAGTACAGATTCAAAAACTACATGTATAAATTGCAGTTTTCTTCTTTACAAATCCTGAAGTACATCAGGAACATATATATTGACGTTAGATATACTGTTCCCAGAGTACATGTACAGAAAAAAAAACTTCTTTGTTTTGTTGTCTCCATCAACCTGGTTACTTCCACCTCCTTTAAGTGGACTTTCCGATATAAATATTGTTTGAAATTTAGACCTATTTTAGGCACAAGATTATGAAGATAGGACATGTATTGGAAAAAATATATACTGATCATTCATCACTAATTGTTGATAGCAATTTTTGTGGATTTTCTTGGTAAAGGTGAACCACAAATTAAATTTTTTAATAAAGTTAAATTTTCATTAGGCTTGTATGTAGACTTCGCCAACCAAGATATCAAATATCTGTAAAAATCAAATTTTTCATCAATCCACAATAATGTTTACCCACACAAATACATGAAACTATTTTTATACATACTGTATATAATATGGAATTATAGACATGTATATCTTACTTTAAAAAATCTAATATAAACAGCAGTACAATGTACATGTAATTGTCCAATTCAAGATTGTGGATATTTCAGTTTCACCATGAAACTCTTTAAAAAATTAATGACAAAAGAGACAATTTTTCACTCCCTAAAGTTAATTTCTTTTTTTTTTACATTAATGTTCCTTAAATCACTTAAAACCTTTAAATTTACTAAATTCTTTTATGGATACAAAGATTTGGTTTAGAAGAATGGCTGTACCTGAAGAACCCCAATTACCAACAACAAAAAGAGTATTAAAAACATGAAAAAAATTGACATCACTGTGATCAGTTCAATAGTGCATAGTTAAATATGGTGAAAATCCCAGCATAAATGTATTTCAGGGCATACTATACAGTTTTGATCCCATGGTAATTCCTTTACGATAATTTGCATACTAGCTATTTGTAACACAGTAAATTTAAATATGTAATAAAAAATATACCTTTAAGGTAGCACAATACAAAAGTAACTAAATTTTATCAAAATTTCATTTTCAGCTGTTTTTGTTACTTCTTAATATTCCAAAACCACAGAAGAAAAAATTATTTACATATCTTGCATTGTTAATTAGTTTTGATGATAATTAGTTTTATAAACAAATGCACATGGCTGACTGATACAAGATAAGAACATGTGGGCAGTACTTTGTGGTTAATCAATAGAATCATTTGATAGCTTTATAACCACTGACCAGCAATAAAAATAACAATTATGAAAAAGAGGTGGATTAGGGATTTATGGAAAAATGAAGATAATGAATTCCAAATAAAAATACATTTCTATGTTGGAACTGCCAAGAGAAAAAAACAAAACAACTATTTGGAGATATAGTGGAAATCAAAATATAAATGTACAGATATTAAACAAGTGTAATTGTACAACAATTAATGTTTCTGATGTTTATACTTGAATTTGTTGAAGAGAATGTTTAAATATGAATTCTTTTTAAAAGAAAATACAAATTAAATATTTCATTTTCAAACTGCAAAAATGAAAAAAAAATCTACTTTGTGTAAGACACCATATTGTCATTGTATACAATTATAATTCGAGAAATCCCCCATAAGGATCCTCTAGACTGACCAACTGATCATTTTGTGAAAAAAGTAAATGCAATGTGTAATTAAACTTCCGAGATCATTAGAAGTAAAGGTTCAGGCCATTCATTAGGAGGCGGTACCCGGTACTTTTACCCTCCTATGCTACTGATAAGTACCGCCTGAATTCAGGAATTTTTATACAAGATGTTCATTGAGTATTTTGAAAAGTACCACCTATAAATAGGAATGTACCAGTCAACAGGAAAGATAATGAAACCCCTGAAAGGTTAATCATGGTGGGCAGAGTTTTGACCATATCAGTAGCAACTGACTTACAGCAAGGTCAATGATGATATAACATCTCCCGCCAGATCTGATTTTTGATGCATAGGGTGTGCATTTTCTTTACATATTTAGAATTGCTGAAATGGAATGCTTTCTTACTGGTCCAAACCTAATTGATTTATGATTAAAGGCCAATCCTGATGTATCCCCATGGTACATGTGTGAATTATATTGAAGTGAATGGGGTACAAGTAGGAAAATCCTTATTTATTCAATTGTGACAAATTCATTTTTGTCATGAAAATGTAGTTTTAAATGAATTTAGCTCCTAGATGGGTGCCCCTATATGCCTAATTTTCACACATGTTGTTCCTTGACCAGTTATCTTCAAAACCGTGTCACAGATTTCCAAAAACATCAATAGAACAAATTTTATACCCAATTAAATTTAGTGATCTCTTATGAATTGAGGTTGCAAACTTCATTGAAGGTTTGTGAGAGAATGAAATACAATAGGAAAAATCTGAGACACGGTTTTGGAGGTCAAACTGTGTTGTACAAGAATCTATAAAATATTTTGGGATGCTATGAATAACAAAGAAGCTAATTTCATTCAAGTGTGGACATCACAATATAGCAACTAATTACATAATAATTAATTATGTAATAATTATGTCATAATGAAATTATGACCATTTGAAAGATTAATCTTTCTTCTTTCTTTTGGTACCTCATTTATAAAATTTAAAGCCGGATGAAAGAAATTACATCAGTTTAAAGTTGTCTGATTGGGGGTGAAAAAAACTTTGTATTGTGCTACCTTAAATGCTACTTTTAGAGATAGATGGAGTCGAAATTTTAGACATTTTCTCAAAATTTCTTTTTCTTGGACATTTCTATCCTTTGAGCAGATATACATGATATACTTTACATGATATATTTAACATTTCGTTTCAAAAGATAATCACAAGCAGATTTAGTAAAAACATTTGGAATATAATCCTTTTATAAGAAAACTCGAAATTTGCTCTTTGAAAATAATTCATTTTAAATAAATTTCATGATTTTAGAAGAAACTGGTATTTTTTGCTGTGTATTTAAATTTATCTAATTTTTTAAAAATTCATCGATGATTTCTTCATAAAAATTTGTACAAATAATCTTCATACATAACCAAGCCATATTTCATTATAAATAAGAGGGTTAATGTACTCGTTTTCAAGCTAATGATTAAAATCAGTCGGAAAATGCCTCTTTTCCCAATATGTCAGATCACAGTCTGATGTACATAACTTTAGCGAGGTCATTACCTGCACTGTACATGCTGTTACTGTATTGAATGTTAAAGAACTCCATTTGATTTTTGAATGTACATTTGGAGTGACTGGTGAAGCTGAAAAGGTTTACAACAGGTTGGATGCAACCATTCACAAAATTTGGTTATAATAATCCAAATGAGAAATTATAGCCCAATAGGGATGTAAAGTTTTTAGTTTTTGAATATAGCAAACAAACATTGAAGTGCATTTGTTTAAGTCAATAGTGGCAACTTTTGTTTGTCAACTTTTCCAGAAATTAATAAGTCTAGATGATTGGTCCTTAATTTCTCTAACATCTAGTTGAATGACATGAGTAATGAAGACAATAAAAAGTTACTGATTGTTTTTAAGTGATTGTATTTATTTTCATAATTAAAACTTTTTCAACTGCACAGGTTTGGCTGTACTCGGAGTAATATTCAAGGTATAAACAATGCCAAATATTGTTTTGTCTATTTGTTATGAGTTTTGGCTAGGACTAGTATATTAATCCCAGGTTTTGGGGAGTTTCAGGTAAATTTTACGGGGTACCGCCTTAAACATGGCAAATTCACGTTTAAAATTCGATACCTTTAAAATGTCACATATGTAGCTTTTATCTGAAATTTTTCTTTTTACTGAGCCCATTTCGATGTCACTTTTTAATTGCAAAACAATGTTTTCACAAGTCATTTTGCAGGTCAAATTTCAATTGAAATCTTTAATGTAGAGGTAGGTTAGGCCTCTAACATAATTTTAAAACAATTTCTGGTATAGGTCAGACACGAAGACGGAAATATCGGCATAAAATAAGAAAGCATATTTTCTCGAATCAAAATGAACATTTAAAATTCACACGGAAAAATACACTGATACCTTTATCTATTAAAAAAATAACGTGCGTGAAAGTTGCATTTTATCTGAGTCCTAGTAAAAAAGGTGAGAGACGAGCCCATGATTTTTTTTTAAAGTAAATGTGTTATTATTATATGATAAATTTTATTTAAACAAATCTAGTCGTGCACCGGTCCGTCGTCGTGCAAAACTATCTATAAACTGAGACTACTATAACACATGTATAAAACTTGTGTTATAGTAGTCTCAGCTATAAAGGAATCATGATCCCAAGGATATATTCTGGAGTCAGTACTTTTTAATAATTGCCTAAATGATTTTTTAACCATTGTAAAACATTAAAGTGAACTGTATAATAAAAAAAAAACAAAGGATATGGTGTATTCATCCATGACACAAAATCAGAACATGCACAGCAAAAAAAAACACACTCACAAAAAAAGGAAAGTAACAGTGCTTTTATTGCTGTTCTTCATTTCAAAGTCACACTGAGGCAACACGGAGCAAAAAAAAAAAAATATCACCTCACTGCAAGTTTTTAGCACCTATGCTGAAGGCAATACTTTGTCATTCTAGGACATAATGACTTTCCATTCTCTTTTCTTTTAAAAAGGTTATGGAACTTTCGGAAACAGAAAGTTACACTAATAAATTATCAAAGTTTTCCAACAACAAAATACTGAGAGTAAACCCTTATAATTTCAGCTTAAGCGCTTGCAATTAGCGCTTGCAATTGCATCTAAAACCGTTCAAAGACTTATTGTTTAATCATTATGTGCAATTTTTACTAGTATTCAATTTGTCCTGTAGCCTGGTATTTTTTTTTGTGAGCACAATACTAAGAAAATTGAAATACCCTGATATTTTATTATGATGATTATCAAAGTAAATATGGTCAAATATTTAATAAATAAGGTTTGGCATCATCATCAATTTGTAGACTCAAGGCTAGGCTTTAGACGTTTTCAAAATAACTAATGGTCTATTTACACTTAATAAAAAGATCTTATTCTTTTAGGAGATAAAACACTGTGGAAGTAATTAAGGTGAATATAACCTGTAATGGCTTGAATTTCTTCAGATCATATCTAGGTGCCCCCAACCTAATGAATGGAGGACAGCCTCGAGTTTGAACCAATTCAAAAGCTTAATAAGCTACTCGACTGGTAATAACATATGTAGATCTTGCTCCTGCAGGTTTTGAGCAATCAAGCTTGACATGTATGTTTTTATGTTTATATATGTGCAATACGATTTTAATTTCTTGGTTATGCTAAGTATTTTTTGTATCATTGCATATCTATTTGATTCATGTATGTTTTTGTATCGCTTTATAGTGCTTGCATATTGATATATATATATATATATATATTGTTTACTTTGTATGTCTCTGTTTGCGTGTACTGTGTATGCCTATTAAATATTGGTATGTTGATAAAATGCTATACAGAGTTTATTATGCATTGTGTTCCAATTGTAGTAACCACAATCCTGTCCTCTTCTCCTCGAATGTGACCTAACGAATTCGACTATCACCGGGTTTGTACTCACACGAGCAACACGACGGGGTGCCACATTATGATTAGGATCTTCTTACCTTTCCGGAGCACGTGATATCACCCCCAAGTTTTGTTTTAAAGGGATTCGCGTTACTCTTGATTTAGTTGTAAGTGTTGTCATTTGTGCTTTTTAATGTTGTGTTATTTATACCGGAAGCAATAACGTTTATCTTTTGTCAAGAAAAATGTGTCTCGATTTCATTTCACATTCGTTCAAGTTTCAGGATTAGAAAATTATACATGACCGATGGTTTAGAAATCGTGGATGTCTTTTGGTTAGATATACAAGCGCCTATTACCAATCCGCTATTGCGTGATGTCGTATCACTTGATATAACTTATCAACGTATGCAACTGTTTTAGGAGTAACACGACGGGTGTCACTGGCATAAGGAGCAGGGTCTTCTTACCCTGAATTCATCCGGTTCTGATTGGTGGGTACGTGTTGCTCAGCTTTTCTATGTTGTGTTTTGTATACTGTTATTTGTCTTTTGAACGCTTTTCTTTTTTTTGCCATGGTATTGTTAGATTGTTTTCGACTTATGAGTTTGAATATCCCTTTGGTATTTTCGGCTCTCTTTTAAGTGATGCATGTACCTACTTTAAATAACTCTTTTATGCTTATCTTATGTGTCCTCGAAACAATCCTATAAAAGTGCAACAAGGGAAGCATTCAACTATTATAAGTACACTTTAATTAAAACTAAAACTAAGGATTTAAAAAAGTTAAATCGAGCTTTTCGTTTGTTTTGTTTGAAATATTTCTATGAACTGTTGTAAAAACTCACCAAAGATGCAAGGCTTTACAAGAACACGTTAATACATGGATACTGCGCGTTTTCTTTGGAAATAAAAAATACACTGACCTTTCAAACACCACGTGATTGTTGTCTGCTAATCAAAATGAAACATCTATGTTATCATTTATAGGGGCTGATCCAGTGAGGGAGAAAGCCGCCCCCCGCTTATAGCAGAAATTTTATGATTTTTTTTTATTACAAGGTTCTAAATTGTTATTTACTACCGCCATTTTTTTAGTTCTGGTCGGCTTTTACAAACAAAATCCCGGATCTATGTACAACTGATTAATTGTATGAATCTATGCCGCGAAAGTTTAATATTCCCAAATCGGACATGACTGCGTTACGGACGGTCCCTCAGCAAGTGTTGCTGTAAGATTACTTTTCGGAATCACACGCTAAATAAGGTATATAGAGCATACAATAGCCTGCAACTTCACATACAAGGACCAGGCGTCCATTATATTTTGCGGTATGTATGAATACATATATTTACATCCGTTTGACTGCATGTGCGGAACATGCGGACTCCAGCCAAAACATACAATTGTTAATTGGAACTGAAATGACTGTCGTACAAGTAAGAGGTTTTGCGCCATGTAAAATCTGCTGTCCGGTTCAACATACCCCACACTGGGTATCCCGATCCGAAACCGCAAAGATCCGAATCCGCAAAGAGATCCGAAACTGCAAAGAGATCCGAAACCGCAAAGAGATCCGAATCCCGAGGAGCAATTAATGAAAAGTTTGTAACGGTGAGTAAGTAAAATCTTGATCCGATTGCCACGGAGGAATTATGCTCCGTGTGAATCGGATCCAGATTTAACCTACCCACAGTTACAAACTTTTCATTAATTGGTCCTCGGGGGTTCGGATGCCTCCGCAGATTTGGATCGGGATAACCGGTGTGATATTACCGTCAAGCTAATGAGCCTTATAGATAGTCTGCTTCATACAAACAAATCGACAAAAATAAAAGTGAAGACAATATACGTTTACTTAATACTTAAAACGTATGCTCGTAATGAACTTGTTCTTATGTTGTACTGTTACAACATCACTGTCCCAGGTTAGGGAAGGGTTTGGCGCCAGTAAACTAGTTCCAACACATCCTGTATGTGCCTGTAACAAGTCAGGAGCCTGTATTTCAGTGGTTGTCGTTTGTTGCTGTGTATTTGTTTTTCGTTTATTCAGTGTTTTGTACATAAATCAGGCCGTTAGTTTTCTCGTTTGAATTGTTTTACATTTGTCATTTCGGGGTCTTTTATAGCTGACTATGCGGTATGGGTTTTGCTCATTGTTGAAGGCCGTACGGTGACCTATAGTTGTTAACTTCTATGTCATTTGGTCTCTGGTGTAATGTTGTCTCATTTGCAGTCATACCACATTTTCTTATTTTTATATTTTCATTGAGTTTTGAGCTTTTGAACCCGTGTTAAAGGCCTTATGTGACCAATGCGCAGACTGGCATGATTCAAGTTATACATTTTGACAAGATTTTGACTTGGTATGTTTTTATTAATGCACACCATAATTAAACGAAACGGAGAATGCAAATAAGACACCCTTTGCGAGTAAAGGCGCGCTGTTTCTTTGCTTTGAATTTGTAAACTGCGTGTAAGAATATAGGGGCATGAATTTAAACACCACACTTTAGTCCAAATAATTATGACGTCTTGAAAGTCTTTTTTTTTGCTTTGATGCCTTACTGTGTCGCAGTAAGGCGCCAAAGCAAAAAAATGAAATAGCCTTTCAAGACGTCATAATTATTTGGACTAACCACATTCCTACTTTTCCAATTTAAGAGAAAGTCAAATACACAATATATAAAAATAACAAAAATACATTAAATGCATGGTAAGCTTTGTAACTAAAAGGGGTACGTTAATAACAAATTCCCAATCTTAGGTCGACTTTGAGGGACTGCCCTATTTTGTGGGTATTGAGAGAAAGAAGAATTAAGTAAAGTTAAAATCAAATTCATATCTGTAAACGACAACAAATAATGAAAGTATCACACAATTACTTATTAACTCGTCTCCCGATCGATAATTTTGTGGGTGTGTGCTCGTTTCAAGTGCGGGAGGTTGGGTTCGTTCTCCAGCTGGGTCAAACCAAATAATTGAAAATCTGTATTTTGTTGCCCCTCCGTTATGCACACGACATCGAGGAGTAAACAGTCCTTAAATATACTAGGGTGATGATTTTACTACGACAGATGCGCATTTGGTCTACACAAGACTCTCAGAGGTGTTCGAATCAAAACAGTTTGAAGACTAAATCAATTACGAAGTTAAAGGGCCTTGATAAGTGAAATGACCCCCCCCCCAAAAAAAAAAAATGTGTGCTAAATATGACTGAGGTCATCGTTGTCTGTGGTAAAAAAATCTGAGTGTTTAGAATGATTTTAACATTTTATGGCTGTAACTTTTAAAAAGTGTCCGCATTAATGATAATGCTATTTGATTATTTTTCGAAACACTAAGGATCTTATACCCCAGGAATATACTACCTTAG